AATCAACTTTATTAGACTGAGATGGAAATAAATACAATGTTTTAAGTTAAAGCTACAGCTAACACACTCATGTAACAACCGATCATTTAAGTTACTATAAATAACAAGAAAGATACATAAAACCCTACTACAAATATAAATCTTACAAGTATGGACTTCTAACCCTACTACAAATATAAATCTTACAAGTATGGACTTCCTTAAAGAATACCAGCAGATGGTTGGTCTAAAATAGCACTATTTAATCTCATTAAATTTAATTACCAATGCACAATTGCGATCGTCTCAAGCACTTCGGGGCTGGGGTCATTGTGAGTCAGACATGGACTCGTGATCATATACTCTCGCTCGCTGACGAATACGCCTGAACTGCATACAAACTAAATAATGGAGTAATGCATGATACGAGTGTACGAGTGCGACGCTGTCAATTGCATGTTATTTATTAGGACGTTCATCTCGAACAAAAGAAGTTTAATACAAGTATGTACGTTATCTAATAACTGACGATATTCCATTCATAGAAAGAAAGTTTGAACTAAGGCCCATGAAATTTATTCTGTGGTTTATGCTAATCATACGAGAATTAGTTCCGTAAGTTTTCAAGTAGTAGTAAAGTAGGGCCCTTTTAGGGTACTTGACGACTCGCGGCACTGCATTATCATAGATACATACAAATGGCAATGCATTTGGAAAAATATGCACAATATATGTACGTTCAAAAATTGAAATAGGTTGTATGTATGTATAAGTTATTTAATTAGTATAAAATACGTTAGATAAATTAGTATTTTAAAAGTTTAATTTAAAAAAAAAAATTTTTTAACTGTGCATAAAGTTTTATCAATGGTACTCCACAGCTCATAATCACGGGCAGGCGAGTCTTAAACAGTCGCCTATGGTACAATGGTATATTACACATAAGTTTAAATCCAATCGTAATGATAATATAAAGGATGTAAATAGCTTTATGTATTTTCTAAAAACTCTGAGTACCTCAATGCCATGGATACTACAAAGTAGCCAGAACAAATTCTTATTCAAAAATAAATATACCTATTACTGTGCGAGAAATTTTCTAACGTGACGTCTCATTCCTAAGTATACTGACCCATTTAGCCCCAGGAGGCCCTAGTTACATTCATATAGTGGCCATTCTGCCCATACGTAGTGTATGTGGCTTCGTTCGCCATGCTTCAGATGCGGTAGCGATAATATCATCGTCATCGTATCTGTGCTTTTAACCCTACCAAAGGAAGATAAGGCCTTTTCTTTCAGGCAAATAAACATTCTCAAAACGACGCACTCTTCAACTTGTATACGCTTAAAATATGATAAGAAGAAATCAAGACCATAGAACGCTACCAGGCTTTTTTGGAACCATAAAGTGGAGGTACAAAGAAGAGCTTTTCCGCTGTCTCTGGATACTTTCGAAGTTGTAATGTGAACGAGGTGAATTGATCACAGTAGATGAAAGAGCGACGTGCTGAAAACGTGCTTGTCGACAAATGGATTTCGCTGGGATAGAAACTAACAAAACGTCTTAATTTTGATGCCTGTACAAAAACCCTTTATTGTCAGACTGTTGCTATACTAAGGCTTATGGTCATATAGTTCAGAACCATCTGTAGTGAAATGGCTAAAGCATTGGTATCGTGCTCCAGTGCCAAGTTTTACAGCCCACTAAGTACAAGCCAAAGTTATACCAAAATTTTGATTAAATGGAGAAACAAGATTAACGAAAAAACACATGACGACTGCACAGATGGCGTTGTGGTTTAAGCGGTCATCTTGTGGGTTCAAGCCCCACGTAGGACAACACTTTGTAAGATCCATAAATTGTGGTTCTGAGTCTGGATGTTCTTTGCGTTCGTTTCATGTATGTTTGTGAAGTACCCCGCGACACAGGATATATTCCTAGTGCGAGTTATCTTTGAAAAAAAAAAGTGACAAGTAATTTTGTATATAGCCTACCAGATGAAGCTGAAATGGGATGAATTTTCAAACTAAACAAAATAGTAAATAAATAAGTTCATTATTATCCTGAAATAAATGGGCTATCCTAGATCACTATATCAATGGACATGCGACTTCGACAGCGTCTGAGGATTGCGATAGGTTTAGGGAGTACTCCTTGCGACGCGTCAGCGCTCACCTTCACTGTCTGGTGTGTTACCCCCTCTACTTAATCATATTTGATACCAGCCTATAGTTAAACCGCCGTAAGCTTGGCCCTCCTGATGGTTTGCGGGACGCGGGGCGGGGGTGCATTCAACCAATTAGCTAGTGCGTCGCTGTCCGCCAGCAGTGACTGACGTGAAAGCATGGCTGTACGTGTTATTTTTCTTAAGACTGCTACACACGGTATTATTTTGCAACATGGATAATCTGCCGACTCTGCGTCACAAAAAGATTTAAAAACTTGAAGTTCGGCTTACAGAGGTTCTACTGTTAAAGTTCTAATAAAGAATATTTATTATTTTCCTTATGTCTGTCTTGCGTCAATGCCATCGTGTGTTTTCAAATTTTTTAGGAACCAGGCTCTTTTCTGTTTTACTGTTTCCCGTACGTGGGGCATCTCAAATCCATTATCTCGTATATCATCAATCCAGGGTGGTTGGTGTAATCTTTTGGTGGACAGTTCTTGCGCCCCCCCCCCCCCCCCCCTCTCGTACTGTCCCAAGGGTATTTTACTTTACCGGACTTTTAGCAACATTTCCTGTCTTGTCTGCTGGCTGCTCAGCTGTCTTTCCAGCAGTCTACAGTCTTTCCTGTTGTCATCTGTCTTGCCAGAGTTATCCCGTCTATCCGGGCTGTAGAATACTTAAAAGCAGAAACATTCTGCACTTTATCAAATTGTCCTGATTAATAGGTAAATAAGGATTAAGCTAATGACAACTACTCAAAACATACTGACATCAATCATCTTCTGTATAGATTTTAGAAAGAGATATGTCATGGATTTTGTTTCTACATTATTAACTGTAGGCAAATATTATGTGATGAAAAATACTTAATAGGGTGGGTGCACCAGTGCCACACCAGGAATCAGTGGTACACCATTTCGAACTTCACATCAAAATATTAACCTTCTGCTACTTTCTTCAGTTTCGTAGCACTGCCGTACTTCTATCAATCATTTAATCATAAATAAAAGCGATAAACACGCCATCTACATAAGTAAAAAACGCATGATTTGAAACAACAATAGTTCACCTCGGATTTGGTTCAATATGAGGGTATATTTGCTGATCTGGACATTTTAAATAGCATATCAGTCTCTGTTGTTCATATTCAAAAAGCATATAGGGAAATAAAGCTTTGAACTGATATATATTTGCTGCATATTCCTTTGTGCCGGCCACGTTATATGACATATAACATGCGATTTTTTTAAATTTATATTTATATAAATAAATATAGTTTATCAGGTTTCCGGTGGCCTTGTTAGGATATCCCCGACTCCTGCAATACTCATTTGTGATAGAAAACTATGTAGTTGGTTCGAGCCTAACATTCACTTTCAGTACTAGTAAGGTAATCATTCATTTAGATTTCCACACAAAAAAAAATTGTTTATCAAGTACAAAACAGTAATTTTTGTAAAAGTTAAATAAATAACAAATGTAATAATTTATTTGTTGGACAATATAATCTTTAGCCTCACTTCAAATAGCTGCTAAAAATATTTAATAATCTGATAAACATGAGATAAATCCAAATATGTCAATTCCTATCCAGATAAAATCTTTTTCGATATACAGTTGAGCAATAAACACTACAAAGAAGCTACAAGTTTAAATACTACAAGTTTATTAGATATCTATAAAAATTACCACAATCCAAAATCAAATTATTTCATAATTGTGAAAAAGAGTTAAGGAGTTAATAAACTTATATGCATCTTTTTGCCACTCATCATCATCAGCCTTTATTAGTCCACTGCTGGACACAGGCCTCTCCTTAGAACGGAGATTTTGGCTTACTATACCGTGTTGGCCAGACATGTTGGTAATGGGTTTGTGTAGTTTTATTTCTCTGCCTCTCACATTCTGCCAACTAAAATTCTAAACTACAACACTTACATAAAAAATGGGGGTCAGCCAATTGTCCTCAAACAGGCAGTTTTAGGGTAGATGGCAAATCTTGGCATCTAAGGGGTATTGTCTATTTTCAATATCAGTAATTTGGTATTAGCTCTAGCAGGACAGTCATACCTGTTACTGGAAATGTCTTTTTTTAGATAGTCTGATTTCATATTATCTAATGATTAATAAATGTGATTTGTAAGTCAATTTTTTTATTATCATTCAATTGTAAATCAAAAAGCATTGATTCATGATTTGATGAAACAATACAATTTATTTTAGTAAGAATGGTATTATAGTGTTATTCAATTAATTTCTAATAAATTATAAGAACTAGATACACTGGATTGTTGCACATGACCTAAATTTCCCAGCCTTATGTGATGTTAAGTGATACTAGTATTCATAGACCCCTAAAAAATCTTGCTATACCTTATATTTTTAGTTTGACCCAATATACTTTTCATGACTAAAACTATGGTAGAATATGATTTAGCCCATGACATACCATTGTAAGATGAATTGTTTAAATTGTGTCTTATTTATATTAAATCTACAACACTACAGTTATTAAAGTTTGCCTGATAGATTTTAGTTATTACAAAAGCTGTCATTAATATACAAAAATATGTAAAAAGTTTTTAATAAGTAAGTTTTACTTTTAGGATATACAATCTGGATCTGGTTGGTTAAGAAAACAAACATTATTTCTGAAATAATCTACAAAGCTATTAATAATATTGTGGAATATGGATTTCTTAAGTTTATTTACAAGGCATTTTATTAGTACTACATTATATCTAACAGCGAATAACGTGCGTGTACTGATTAGGACAGAGTATCAGATGATATGTCATCCTAACATATTTGTGAGGTCTAAAGTAATACGAAATATCACAATAAATCATATACCTTGACTGGTTGCTCCAATGTAACTCGTCTTTCATCAAATGCCAAAGAATTTGAATGAGGAATGAAGATCGCCTTAGGAACGCCGCCTTCCTGGTTATTAGGTACTTCTGGACCAGGTGTCCAGTTGTAATCCATGTTTTTCATTGTATTATTCATTATTGGCTTAACTTTTTTGCTCTTTGCTATCACCATCGCACACACTGCTCCTCAAAGTCAGCATCCGTGCCTCGTACGTGTTTGAACGAGTAACACATCGATGATCGAAACAAAATCTATTCACTTGCTGCAAGGTGAAAGGTGAACACTGATCACTGCCATTTTGAGGAACAAGCACTGTTTTTAATTTAAATTGAGTCAAAATGATCTAATTAACTATAAGTCCTGAATATCGCGGTAATTATGCAAACACCATTATTTATGAAACTTGATTCCTTTCGTCTACGTAGGTTTTGGTAATATAAAAAAATCAAAACCTGGAATAAATTTATTATAAAACGCTATCTATTGCTTATAGTTTCAGTATAAAAAACTATTCACGTATTGTTGCTGGTTGTAGAAATATATATTTTTCAGGGCGTCAATCAAAAATTATCATTTGAGGAACTTACGAAATGGGCGCACGATTCGGACATTTGTTTTGTTGAAATAGAGACGATCTAAAAGAATGAACTAATATCACAATCGACTAATTTACAGATAATAATCGAATACTTTTTTTGAATTGAAACCTCAACCCATAGCTTTACTTTCATCTTAAAAAGTAAATTTGAAAAAAAAAAAGGTTACATTTTATTTCATACTACAGTTTCTACCTAAAATTACTAATTAATTTTTTCACGCCATGGAAACAATAGATTTTCTTGATAACAGTTACAATATGTTTTGCTCCCGATTTCTAGTAAAATGTATACTATAGATATCTAACTTTCTGTTGAATGTTATGGCAAAATGCAGAAAAAGAGAAAAAATAAATATTGGTTATTGTGCATTAGATGAACTGGTCCTAAATTTAAAAAAAAAAGTTCGAATTAATTCTTGAGCACTAGAATCAACACTAGAGCAGTTTTTAAACACTAAAGACCCTGTTCAGTTCAGTTTAATAAGAAAAAAAAAGGTAATTGGTCTCAACTTAGGCGTGATCGGAGAGTGTGCCAGGTAGGTTATTATAAAAGTAATAGATAACAATCTTTATTAAGTGTATTCCTCAACTATTTGTTACTTTAATATAAATAATATAAAATATAAAAAGTATTTATATCATTGATGTTACCAAAGAATTCGCCTATTGAACGTATTCTTCTTTAACAATTAAACCCTACAATAGGCCACTTTCTTTTCACTATGTATATGAATATTTTGTGAACTGAAATATTTGCGGTGGTATTCTAACCAAACAAGGACTATTTTCTTGCAATCATATAACGACATCTAAAAAGATATATTAAAAATAGAATATCACAAAGTTTTTTATAAATCACATTATGACATAATATACAATTTGTTTATTTGACGTCTGTGTCCATCCAACGAAATTTGTCTATAATAAATATAGAGGGTCTATAAATCGATTAATGATTAATACAATAAACTGCATAATTATTCGATTGAAATCCATTAATTTTAATCGAATTATGAGAAACTATTTTAGCCTGTGTTGGTAACTTTTTAATTATTTGATAACTTTACTATGCTAAATTCATTCAAAAGATTTCAAGTAAAACAGTAGTACAATATAGAGAAGAAGATAAAGTATTAGTACACTTTCGAATACAACTGCAAAATTAAAAACTGGCAGCAAAACGTTACAAACAATTTAAAAAAAAAGGTGAAAATTTTAAACGTTTTTTACTTTTATTTTATTTATTTGTATAACATAAGTTTTGAGTCAGTGTTACGGAGAAGAAATAAATGACGACTTCGTCTGACCTAAAAATCCTTACACCAATACAGGTTATTATTATTCTTAATGACATATCGGTAGGGATTATAGATGTAAAACAACCGATTTAAAACATTTTAAATAAAATGTTGCCGTTTAAAAGCCCAAATAAACCGTTTTCAACTGGTTTATTTGGTCCAAAACTCGCCTACAATAATAAAAGAACTGTGTTTTACACTTCATTGTTGGCAATTTTTGGTCACCGGACGTCGTGTTTCGTTTTAATTAGTTTATAGAAAAGAAAATCAATAGAAAGTACCTACCTACCTTACCTACTACACGAAAACTTAAGTATTTAGGTATACCTACCTATACTTATTTATTATTTTATATTACACACACTAGATTAGAAGATGTCGTCGGTTTCACTTGGACATGAAAGAGACAACGTTATCTTTTTAAGGCCATGGCGCGAGTGCGAGAGTGTGAGTTTGGTTTTAAACCGAATCAAATTGATAATTTACAACAGAGTTTTTAACTTATCAATTGCGTTTTTATAACGTAGGTAGGTAATACCTACGCTTGGTCGGACAGACCAGTTAGAACTACACCCGCTAAGTATATCAATATCAGAACCATACAAAAAAATAATCTTTACACAGTTTAAAGGTACTCTGTCTTAACCCTACCTCGGTATAATCAAGAAAATGTAGTTATAATTAAGAAAAACATGGTCATAACGACCAACCATTTTAAATCGCAAAATAATGGTTTATTTCGGTTTTACACGGTTATTTTTTTCGTTTTAACCGGATATGTTTAATTGGTTTTAAAATGGCCTTACATCTATAGTATGGACACAATGTAATTACTGACTAAGCATAACGATGTACCTACGTGTACCTAGCGGCTGCGCCCGCATACATAATTTGTCCAGTTGCACAGATACAGACATTACATTCAGACATTGTTTAATTCTCAAACCCACGTTAGGCAACTTGTGTTAGTATAATAGTACTAGTGTAGTGTGAATATAACATAACGAATATATAGTCGCACTATATTCAATCTAACTCTACGAGTAAAAATGTCTACCATGTAAGAAGTTTTAAGGTGTTCAGTCTTTGATAGGGTCGATTAGATGTGTTCTCTTTTGCATTGTTAACCTTGTACTCCTTTCCTGTGGAGCTGAGGTATGGAATTTAATCATGCAGTCCTGCCTGCTCAAGTAAACAAAATTCACTACTGAACGTTCTGCCAAGTGTGCCTGTATGATTTTTATAATCAATAATTGACCTTTATAGTATCTCACTGTCAGTACCTTTGTTCAAGGGCATTAACAGCTTATCAGAGACTCTCTTAACTAGGAAGTTCTCATTATTTAAGCTGCTAAAAATTAATCAACAAAAAACATTTTAGCAGCTAAAAGAATAAGAACTGCATGGTTAAGAGACTTGGGGTCCGGTTAATAATTTTTGGCCTAACCCTGGTGTATCCCACACCCATAGGCCTTTGGTGTAGGTAGACATCAACAGTCACTACAGCACAGTACAGTAGTACAGTGCAGTATATTCTCCCAATATTTCTAGGAGGGATTCTTCCTCCATGGATGGCTGTCGGTAAAATACTTTATAACCGCCCAATACTGAAAACTAGAATTTACGAATTGGCTTGGCACACGCGTATTTAACTATTAAAAAATTATAAATAATTAATTTAAGGAAAAAAGCACACGTTACCTAAGACTAATGGTGATTAACGGAGATTACAAATACTTAGTGTATTATTATATAAACCGTGACATGGGTTCCTAAGCTGTAGCTCCAAGCTCCAACCGTCGTCCACAGTTTGTAAAAGACGTAAATTTGCTCGAAAGTGAAATATATATGGCTGTATATTTGTCATTGGAAGGGCTCTTAGGAAGTCAAATTCAAGCCCAAAGTCACTGCAGAAATGTAGCACTTGCGACTCTTGAGTGACTATAGCCCTTCCCGTCAGTTCTTGTAAAGCCTCATTTTATTGATTTTTCTCGATAATATTGCTTTTCACTACTACTTTATCGTATTTAAAATGTTAATCTTTGATAGTGTATGACTGAAAGTAAATGTGGCTGTGATATATTAACGAAGAATTAGTACTAAGTTCAGTTTTCAAGAATCAGCACTCACTAAATAAAGTTAGTGTCGTCACAGATCAAACAGCTCTTGCTTACTATTTCGGTTAATCAAAGAGCACAAGCTCAAGATTGAAACTTTGTAAACTCATTTTGCGGTCACTATTTTCAGCTATAAATGCGTTATATACATAATTTAATAATTCAAACATTCAATACCATTTTTTTTATTTAAACATTGTCATCAGCTGTAGCTAAAGTATGCCTACATCAACCAGTAACAGTTTTAATTTTTTTCATGGCAATCTAATTATATTTTTCTTGCTCTGTCCTACGCATTGTTTTTAATATCTTTTATCTCTATTATTTTACTTAGGTGGACCTGTGGATAGATGGCGTTAAAACGGCAACTGTCTAAAGAAAGAAAATCGAAACTTCACGTTGTATTGGATTGGTGGGTGAGTTTGAGCCATTGCAACGAAAACGGTTTTCTGCCTTGGGTCTTGTGTGTAGTGTGATTGTAGAGTGCGTGATATTTATCTCAGACAAAAGTGAAATTTAAAGTGTTTTGTGTTCTGTAAGTATTATTTGTTTACCTTTGCAGATGAATATAAGGTATTTACGTATGACGAACGAAATATGTAGTAGTTGTTCCCTGGAGACGTTCAATATGGCCGTTCTCTCATATTATTCTTTACCAATTTTACTTGATTTGTGTTATGAATCATTACCACCTAGAATTCAGAATGATTCTTTAACCACTAGGTATAAGATTTTATCAAGTTTTGCTAATTTCGTTGATGTGGCAAAATGACAGTAACCCTAATGGTTTTGACGTTTCTGAGTCATTTTAATGCATTCACATTTCTAAACTATTTTTTATCCATTTACTGACAATGAAATACAGCCATTTTCACTAAAACAATAATACTATGTATGTCATGTTATTGTGAGGTGTGTAACAGTTTAATTTATGAAGGTAATAACAATGATGAACCATTACATAAATCCTGCCCTAGTCCCAAAAAAGTTCATATTTCTTTCAGTGTTAAGATATGAGACCATCTGACGTTTAATTACAATCGGAAATGAATTGTTTAGAAAAGCAAACATAATTTTTTTGCCGATAAATGCAATAATAATATATGCAGTTGTTAGCTTCAAAGATATGATGCAAGATTGATGCAGAGTCTATTGTTGTCTCACTGTTTTTGGTTTATATAGTATAAAATAGAATATCATGTATATTCGGACTATCGGACGAAGTGTAGTCAGATTCATCATGTACATTGTTCGAATTCTAGTTTCTAGGCAAATTATCTGTCAGTTAATTAATAGAAGTCAACCTTGCAAAGTTCATTATACATCATATTATGGCTTCTCTTTAACCCACCAAATTTAGAGGCACATTTGCCCTTGGCATAGAAGCCTTAGCAAATTTTTATTAGTCTCAAATTACTCATACTCGAATAAAGTATTTATTATGAAGTTACTTGTATTACAATTTAGACTCGCAGTAAATCCAAAATTTAATGAATGAGATATTTAATGAAAACATTTGTATACATCTACTATGATTACTCTAATTTAACAATAAGAAAAATTATCCTTACATTATCCATTTTCCAAGCATAAGGAATAGGGAATAGGTTAAATGTCATGTCATGTCATATTACCCTCTTTAAAGAAGGCAGAGCAGGGTAGAGGCAGACAAGTTTTTAAGATTGCCATTTAAATATCTTTTACATTGATGGTATAAATGTAGTGGTGTGTGACAATTATTTTTTAAGGATAATAAATACTTCAATATAAAGGTGACAACCCTGCATTTAAACCATATTTGATAAGATTTTAATCAGCAGACTATCGCAGTCTACTGCTGGACATATACCTCTCCCATTGCGCGCCATAAAATCTTATGAAAATTGCTATCAACATTGGAGGTGTAGACCTAACCACACTAATTTGAGCTTACATCATTAATAGACGCCGTCTTATTTACCAGGTAAATATTTTAGCTACACATTAAACTATGTATATATTTTTCAGTTTAATAATGTAAAATAATTTCTCTTTTTAATTTGTAATATATTTAATTTCCAAAATTGGATTTTAATTTACAGACAGTTAAGAAGTATTGTTTATAGAGATAATTGATAATTGTCAATTATTAAAGAACATGTTAGATCTCATTATTAGTTATTTAGTCAGTCATATTATCAGTTTACTGGCTACAGTGTTCTTTGTTCTGTAATAGAAACAAAACATTATCTGCTTACAGGGTTAGATGAGGATTAGATTAGTAGGTTATTAATACAGTGAAAAAAATTGTTCAATTGGTTGTAATACAAATAAAAACCTTGGGTAAACTTTTATTGGATTTTTTTACAAAAATGTTTATTGTAATTATTATTATTCAGATGCTCCTGTGGTTTGTACCTAATATATTATTTGAATGAACATTTTGTTATCTTTATCTGCATATGTTTTAAACCTGTAAAATTATGTCATTTTCCATAGGCATTTATAACCACGGTTCATAATTGAGTGACAGACATCTTTAATGCCTAAATCTCATTTATATGTTCAAAAACATTTTAAATATAACCCTATTTGTTTTAATAGCTCTGAAGAGTACATATTACTTCTATCATAGACTGTTCAAACTTTTAAAATGTTTAAATGGACATTACTTCCAAGTTTCAATTAATTTTTCAAATTAACTCGAATTATAGTTTTCTCAAGTCTTTCTTCTCTCTGAGTGTAACCTTCCTAATTTCAATCAAGCCAGTTTATTAAAGTATCCTATCAGGTACCGTAAACCAGTTGGGTCAAATAAAATTAAAAAAGTGGAAGTATAAGTACAAATGAGTATGATTTCATAATGTAAGATGTTGACCTTTTATTTAGTATCTATGTAATACAGGTACTGATAATCATACTACCACTTTATTTATGGTCATGTTGAATATGTAAATTAGTTGGTAATGAAAAACTAAAAAAAAATCCTTTTTTTTAAAATGATGCAATTTATAAACAATTACTAACAAAGACTCCTTAGGTTCAAAATTGCTTAAATCATTATCTTCTTCTGTCAAGTACAAGTTGTCAGGGTTAAATAAATAAATTAAACTAAAAGTTTGGCCAAATGTGGAGATACTTGAAATTATATTTTTGTAGATGACTCACTAAGTATATGGTGATCTGGTCAATGATGTAATACAAGTATACAACATAAGGACTATTTTCCCTACCTCATAACACATATTTTGTAAGAGCACATGGAATCTATGATAAATATTCAATTACATATAACAAATTTGGAACATTTGCAAATTTAACTATTCCAATTAGGTTTGTATTCTTATTTATTTATTTATGACAGGTTTTATTTGACATTTTGGCAAACCTTAATTACATATATATATATATATATGGTTCATATAATTATGAATTAAAAAACAGACTTACGGGGACATGAGTACACAAAATCGATGTAAGACCTATGAGACTTTATATAATGTTCCTATAAATTAATACTATGTTCATTTAAAATGGTGGTTTAATGCTGACTGCCATTGCTGACTGTATCTGTCATTAAATGCAATAAAAATCAATTAAGTATCTCATTCTTAGTCTTATAGTGTTTGAAAGACATTATACCTACTGTTATTAAATTTACATAAACATGATTACATTGTTACTAATATTTTTATAATACTTGTTAAATATTGTTTGTTTTGCATATTTTCAAATACAGATTTAATAATTATCAATTTTCTATTTAAGTAGTACCTAATAAAAGAGCAGAACATTAAAATTATTTATCTCTGAAACATAAAAAATTGCACTTAATATAGTAAAATTATCTGATCATTATTACCAGATTAAGATGCCTGCCCCCAAATGATTGTAAGTAAAGCAAAGCTACTCGCATTGTCATAGCTTGTACCCAAAGGCTGGTAGTAGTATGTGATTCCCAATGGTTCTAGATAACATTTTTTTTTTAACAACAGAAATTTTAATTCAGTATTATTACAAGAATACATAATAGGGCAGTAGACACTAATTATAAATTAATATTACTTTAATTAAATTATTAATTGTAATGTTTTAGAACCTGAAACTAAATAATATTATATTTTACTTATAAATATTCTTTAATTATCAAGTATCTGTATGTATGTGACTACCAAGACCTACAAGATCCATTATGACATTAAGTGCTGAACAGTCAGTTGGTATCATAATACCTAGTTATAATAATTCATGGAACTGTCTGTTCTCTCTCTATAGTGGAAAAGTTTGTCACTTTAATTCTTTTTTTCAATTGTTTGTTTTAGAATAAAATCTTTTGCCCTTGAAAATTGGTTGTCCCTATTTACTTCACTTTTATTCAGTTTTCTAAGGTGGTGTTTATATATAAAGTAATATAGTCCAAGAAATTATGGTGTCCTTAGTAAATAAACAAATGTATTGTGTTTGTACACAGGTGATATAATGGCAACGGCGCTCCTGCCGTCGCCCGCGTGAATAAGTGAGACTCTAGTGCAGTGAACCACACGGGCCCGCCGCCTCAAGCGTCACCCGACCACGATGAAAATGGTGTTGTCACAACGGCAACGAGAGGAGCTGTGAGTAATATTTATTTACGTTATGTACACGTAATATTGTGTTAGGTCACTCGACGACAGTAGACGTAATTCTCAAACTACTGCATATTAAGCTAGGATGGTTGGAGTGATCTCAATCTATTTAAATATAATTATAATTGACTTTTAAGTAAACTTTCTAGTCATCCATTCCCGGCTCCTTTAGTATTACCAGCCTCAACCAGAATGTTGACTTTAAATGTAGGTATAATAAATTCTGCCAATTATGATTCATTGAAAAGTTTGGTCCTTTCAAAGGTCATCACATTTTGTCGAGTTTAATAAAATCTGTTGGATTGTAAACCTTTGCTCATTCGCTATTCTTAAGAACTTAGTTTCTGAATTATGACAAAAATACGTTGTAATTGATTGTGTTAAATACATTTTTAAATGTAGTTAATCAAGTGTAAATCCCTAACTCCAAGAATATTCAGCTCCTGCATACTACTCGCCGTCCAATTATCCTCTCATTTATGTAGCTTTTCATCTAACTAAATAAACACTAATTCTGCGGTAGCGGTGAGGTCAAAATATCTGGTAACAAATTGTAGATAGAATAGAGTTCTAAGTTTATTTAAAATGCGAATTAGAAAGTCGTCTAATTCAGACATCTGTTTTGCCTTCTGCATTGTTTGATTAAAGCACTTCAATGTAAATTCAAGAACGAATATCCCTTTTCTCTCAAAGTAAAGATAATTGCTACAGCTATGAATTATTCTATTCCGCGTTCTGTAGAAGGAGCATTGTCTTCAAAATATACGATTGCGTTTTTAGAACAACAGAATTGAGTTTCAATGAATTCGGTCAAGCAAATAGTTGCGGCGGCAACAAGGTCGCAGTACTAACGCAATGTTACCAATACTTTACTAGAAACTTTCTGAATTTATTATTAATTGCACTATTCTATCAAATCATTAGAAATTGAATAAATCACAACAAACCAAAACTTACGCCTATACACGTTTTTTGTTAATAGAGTCATTACGCTTCATTTTGGCGTAATTTTTACAAAATATTATTATATTGCTTTGTGAATACTAATTTCAACAATAAGTAAAAATATTAAAACCGTCTTGAATAAAATATATACTTGCTCTAATGCTTAAAACCAGTAACGAAGGCATACATTCTCGATTACTTAATCGTTTTCAATTGCTGGGTATAAAAATCAATTTAAATTCGTGTTGCCATATTTTTAACGAGTCTTCCTTCCGTATGTAGCTAACTGTATAATGCTGCCTAATATGGAGTCCCTATCTTGATAATCGTATAACACATTTATTTTTAATACTATATTTGCTGGTTCATTTTTGCTAATTTATAATTACAAAAACAAATTATAAGAGGTCACTAGTTACTTTGAATCTAATTTTAATGTTATTTTGCGTTCATAAATATTAAGTTTCTGTTTGGAGTATAAAATTACGTTGTAATTTATAACATTTGAGTAGAAAAATAGTAGTACTGTATTGTCTATGGTCGTCTTAAAAAAGGAAATATAATTTCTTAAGGCGTTTTTGCCACTTTTATGTAATGAAGTAGAAGAATTTAATGTAAAGACACCTGATGTTCAATGTAAGGTGTAACATCGGAGTACTCGACCTGCATGCCTGACGACCTTTGAAAGTGACAGTTGTTCTTATAAAACAAAGTCGTTGACTCTGCGTCGCTGTTGGCGCCTTCCTCGATCCGATGCTGGTGTACAGCTTTCATCGTGAACCTAGAAATCCCATCATTATTATTCGATTATTGATGTTGCAATCGCAAGTAACGGTTCACCTGCGCGGCCGCTGATTGCAGTCTTCAGAGAAACTATCATACTGATTAAATCCACGATTATGTATTCAAATTATTTGTTTCGATACCACAGCTCGTATTTGAAATGAGATGTAAATAATTTAAATATTATATAATGTTACACATTGGATTATAAACCACATACGTCGGCCGTGAACTCATGACCTAAAATGTTTTGCCACTCCTTATATACCCTTTAATTTATTTCACGAAGAGAAAGGCGAACTGAGATCTAATTCGCGATGCTTCTATACAAAGATGTGGTCATGCTGTTCACACGCTATTGTTATACAAGTGCACACAACGCGTTCGGAATAAAAATGTTCAAATTATGTAAGTTCATTATACAAATGGCATTAAGCTAAGTTTAAAATAAAAGCTAACAAAATTTAACAATGCCCACCACCTATTATTGTTGTAGAACGCCTTAAAGTTATGTAGCTGTTTTCTTTCAAAAACAAGCTTTATTTTGTGTAACCTAGCGACAGATTAGCATAGTTGAATTTCTTTGGTAATGGTAATGTTAATGGTCTATACCGTGTTCGGTTCGGATCTACTGCGTCGAATCGGGGTCATTGTACTCGCTTGTTGATTAAAAATAACGATCACAAATTAAAGCACCAACAGACATTTCTCGCTAAATGAATGGACATGCTTTTACCGTTAAACGTTAAAAGAATCAGCATCTATACTTATCTGACAAAATATGTTCGTTTTAGTGTAACGTAGCGTTTTTAAATCAATTTATGTCTCGTCTCGAACGAAATAACACTACGCAACCCAAATACACCAACTCTAAATATAATCACTTTAATAATTACAGAATATTATAAGCATGGGGTTATAATATTCTAAAATTATCATACCATCTCATTCTACACATGGGTGTAGAATGAGATGGAGAATCAGATGAAAATTAAACAAAACAGAACAAAAATTTTTTGTAGACTATCACGTCTTGAACACATGAAAATTTTAGCATATTAGACTACTTTCTTTCTCAAATGCCGTTAAATTGCCGAAAAAGTTATTCAAATTATGGAAACATTAAGATCCTCACCCCTTTTGTAGGTGAAAATGAAATGAAAAGAAGAATGGCAAAAGTACAGATCGAATACTTTTAGTTTAGTGTCATAACTACTGAACAGGGAAAGTGTTTCAGATAGATTACGAAGAACCAAAAATACAATTAATCATGCTATGTTACTGTTCAAATGTTATTAAAGATTCATGATAAGAATCTTTCAATGTGTATACACCTCCTATTGGTTCATAGTACGAGGTCAACAGTAAAAGAAGTTGCTGTCTTACATCGTACCTAAATAAAATAAAAAATCCGTACGTCATGACTCGTTATTACCATAATCGATCAAGATCATAATCTGTTACGTAAACGTTTAGATAATTTAGAAAGGCCTTGTTTAGGATGTAGATCACTAAAATTGATTCGGTACTATTTATTAGCCAGAATTGCACTTAGGGTAAATAAACAGAAAACCGATAACACCACGCACCCGTTGCTCCTAAAATAATCTGCTTTTCTCGAATTAGTATTGTTGGCCTGGAATGTGGATTTTAGGTGTTAGGCATACACGATGTACACGTACGGTAGACGTCACGGCACTGTAAAACTTATATTAGGGTACCTGTACTCGATTCTTTCCTAGAAGATGCTGAGCTTTTGTGGTGGGTAAAAGATCTTGAGTGTTAATTAGATATCGGGAATATCAGTTTGCCCACTTATTTATATAAAAATATGTTTTATCAAGTAACTACTTGTTTCATAAAACTTCGTTTGTTTTCATTTCCTTGTGATAAAATTTTGTTCGTCTACAATAAATAAAAAAGTGTGTTGTATCAAATGCAAACAGGAATCTTGACAACCGCCTCCTCTTCTCGGAATATGTAAGTTAGTGCTGCAGAAGTACTGCGTCACGTTTTGTCGATTTCCTGGGTTTAAGCGCTGCATCAAAATTACTCAATTTATCGGTAACTAAAACATAAAACTAAACAATAGCTAAACAATAATACTGCGTCAGGCTTTCGAAAAGCGACTAAATTGCAGTATTGTGTGTACGGTGACTTTATGAAAGGTCGTGAGTCATCGCATATCATTGTCGCCAAGATATGTAGCTGCGTCAATGTCAACCTGTACTTACTGCTGCCATCTTTATGACGATTGAAAGCTACAATTATACGGGCAAGGAATGACGTTTACATACAATTCTTATTCTTTTATCAACCTGATTACTGCGAAAAAGCTGAGTGCAGTCAATTTTTTTTTATTTGTTAGTAGTACATATGATAAAGATGGTATGTACTTCATACTATATGTTTAAAGTTTCATGGACTACACAGAAATTAAAATTTTATTAATACCTTACCAGATTTCTACACCCCCCAAAAGTTGGCTAGTAGAGAATGCTTTGGGCATTAAGCCCCCGCCGTTGTACATAAGTGCATAAAGTTGTAAAAAAAATAAGGTTTGTAAAATATAGCAATTTTTTTAAATTCACACTTTTCAAACGTCATAACTCAAAACTAAGTTATTGTTGTTAAATTGGCAATCCTTGTAAATGTTATATTAAATATATTTCTATTAAAGTTCATGTATATGTAGAGGTGTTTTCTAAAAAGGCGAAGGAAGATCTGGCGCTCATATACTGCAAGTTAAATTCTCCACATCTTCTATCTTTGAACGATCTTTGAAAAGAAACAGACATTTGACTCGAAATGACTACCAATCGTTTCATAGGCAAATCTAAACCAATCAATGTATATAAGCTCAGGCACTGTCCTGGGTTAATAATTAAATTAAGCATAATATCTTAAACTAGTATATCGGGCCGGCTGCCTTTTAAAATTATTTTTTTATTTGCCAGTGACTATTCTGCTACCTATTCCAAAGATTGACCGTAAAAACTAACTGACAGTAGAAAAAACTTATGTTCATTGGTTTGTGATAAATCCGGGAAAACATTTACTCGTAGATACGATTACGAAAACAAACAACAGATATGCAATTACAAGCTAACACTTCAATTTGATTTATTTCTATTGATAAATTCCTAAGAACTGGACTTAAGATAGCAGCACACCTTGTTCCCCAAATTAAAAAAATAACTGTCTAAATAGAAATTACTTTCGCTATCTGAGAAATATTAGGTAATGTTAAAACATGTTAA